CATAATGCCGACAGGAATATACCGATTCCTCAAGGGGATCTGAGTTTTAATCCAGTCATATTAATCTTCCCTTGAAACAGCAGAAGTAATTTAATCACTCTTTCTGTCTAGTTACAAAATAATCCATTTGGAAAATTGAATTGTGTAATTTGTAATTGTTTTCCAAGCTCGCTAATGCAAAACTATATTGGTAGCAAATTAAACATTTAAAGTATGATCGCTCTGCTAATCACTGGCTGTTAAGCATTTATTTTAATGAATACTTTCATTTTATTCATAATAAGAGTCTGGTCTGAGACTTAAAGATTGGCAGGGCACTTTTGGTGTCTTTATTGGAATATCATACATTAAGATTTATCAGGCATATTGTGGTGTAAAATATATGTGCCATTCCTTACTGTGAAACGACAAGTAATATAAAACTGGTAGCCAGTGGTTATGGATCTGAAGCATAGCTTGAGTGAACACATGAACCAAGGGACTAGTTCTGAGAATGATAGAGTTGGTGATATGTTACTAGTAAATCCAGTCTCAAAATTCAATAGGTGGTTTTAGCCTTAAGCCTTCTACAAGCCAGAACTGGAAGCTTTATGAAATATAATGTAATTTTTGTCAGATTTCAGTCCCTAACAGCCTTATGTGCATGAAGTTTTGCACAAGCAAATGTAGAATCTAATGACTGATAATTTGCCTTTGGCTGCAAAGGCAGATGCAAGTAAGACCTTGTCCACACTACGTAGTGGATCAATGCTGCAGCGATTGATCCATCAGCCATCAATTTATTGTGTCTGCTGTAGACAAAGAAATTGATCTCTGAACGTGCTCCCATCAACACTGGTACTCCACCAAGACAAGAAGAGTAGACATCATTAATGACAGAGTATCCCCTGCCGACTTTACTGCATGCAAGACAATTTGGGAGTGCATGTATTTTTTGGAAATTTGGACTTAATTTTGAGTTCCTTGGTATTTAGATGCCAAATTTTAGACACACAGACCTGATTTTCAAAGAAGCTAAATAGCTATAATTTCACTAGCTGCAGACAGTCAATACTTTTAAAAAAATTAAGGCCAAGGGGTGAAATCCTGACCCAATTGGAGAATAGAAATAGAATATCCATGGATAGCAATAGAAAATCAATGAATTTCACCCAGGCTACATCTAGACTACATCCCTTTTTCGGAAAAGGGATGTAAATTAGACGTATCGCAATTGCTAATGAAGCAGGGATTTAAATCTCCCGCGCTTCATTAGCATAAAAATGGCTGCTGCTTTTTTTCGGCACGGAGCTTTGTCGGAGAAAAACGCCAGTCTAGACGCTGATCTTTAGAAAAATAAAGCCTTTTCCGAAAGATCTCTTGTCCCTTTTGAAATAAGGGATAAGGGATCTTTTGGAAAAGGCTTTATTTTCCACAAGATCAGCATCTAGACTGGCGCTTTTCTCCGACAAAGCTCCGTGCCGAAAAAAAGCAGCAGCCATTTTTATGCTAATGAAGCGTGGGAGATTTAAATCCCCGCTTCATTAGCAATTGCGATACGTCTAATTTACATCCCTTTTCCGAAAAAGGGATGTAGTCTAGACATAGCCCCAGTGTATAAGCAGGATATTTAGAAACAGAAGCCGTAACTGATTTTACAATCACATGCAGTATTGGGCACCATGAAGTTAACAGTGATGAAAGTGAGTGAATAGTACAGAAAATCTTCTCTGCTTTGTGACATGGTATGCTCATAAAGAGCTAATGTGAAAGGAAAAAGGAATCGAATGAAAAAAAATTACTGTTCAAATGGATGAACTTTGGAATTTCAAGCATGAATTGAAGCATACAGAATTGCTATTGAAACATATTGCTCTGCCTTTTGGATTACCACCGTCATGCTTCATAGCGGCATGACCTTTGAGATGAATTGATAATGTCAGTACTTCCCCTCCTCCCCCATCTTCTGTTGTATATTCCTCCCAAACTCCTTAGACATGCTATGCTGAACAACTGAAAACCCGTGTTTAAATCTGTAGACTGGTCTCTCAAAAAGAAATCTTTAATATTTGTATCAAAATAATTCTATTGGAAGCTTTTCAAAGCTTAGTCACCTGACAAGGTTGCTCCTTGCTGGCCTGGGAAGGCCTGTGGAAGAGGGACTACAAATCTACAATAGCACTTAAGCACATGGTTTATTGTAAGTGTGTGCTAATCCCTATTTAAGATGATGAAGGCTGAAATCTTGCATCCAATCTGTTTGCTTTAGATTCTTGCATGGTAGCTCTGGTGTTTGTTCTTTTGTGGCTTCAGCAGAAAGTTCTCTCAATGGCACAGGAGTCCCAGTAGAGGGAAACCACTTGCATATAAGTCCCCTGAGCAGAGTGTTTGCCATTATGGATCCACTCCTTGACACCAGATAGGATTCCCCAGTTCTCTTTCAGTTCAGTTCCACTTCACAATAAATTTTGAGCATGTTGCCACTAGGGATGTAAACGACTAGCTGCGTCGACTACTTGCTTCCCTGCCTTTCTTCCTCTGTATCCGAGGCAGCGGGGGGAGGGAAGGGGAGAAGCAAGAAGTCGGTGTTGTGCTTAAAAGCCACTTCCCCCCAGCACCATCTCTGCAGTGTGGGGGTTGGAGGGCAGGGGAGGTTCAGGCCAGGTCCCAGACCACTCCACCTCTGCATTTTAAATGTAATAAGAGCAAATTGTATCAACTACACGATTAGCCAGTTACCTACTTCACATCCTTAGTGGCCCTTGGCCAGCTGAACTACTCCAATAATATCACTAGAGGAATTACTGGTAGAATGGTTATGCAAATGAAGCTATTTGAAGTAAAGCATCTGGGGCTCCAGCCACTGCTCATGCAGTAGTAGTAGTGGCCAGAAGCACCCCAGGCCCTTTTGAATTGTCAGGCCCTAGGGCAGTTGCCCCCTTTGCCCCTCCTGGCAGCGGGCTTGTGCTTCTTATATTCACCAATAAATGGGGACCGAAAGCTCCTTCTGACCTGCCTCCTGAGTTCTAGGTAAAAAGCTTATGCAGATGATGCAGCTCTGGGGCCATTCTTTCCCTTATTCAGCAACAAATCAGAACAGAGAGCTCCTTGTTCTCTAGAACTTCAGGTCACCATGCTTATATTGATAGTCTTGTTAATATGCATTAGGGAAGCCTCTGTGAAATATCATTAGGGATGTGAATAGGTAACTGGTTATCCAGTAAGCATCAGCCTTATTGGTGATGCTTACGGGCTAACCATTAACCGGTTCCTCGTGAGCAATCTAGGGCTGCTCCAGGTGGCAGCTGAGGCCAGGATCTGGCAGCCGACCCCAGTCCCAACATGGGGGCCAGGAGCCAGTAAGCGGCAGCTAGCACTAGCATGGGGCCTGGGAGCAGGAAACCTGCAGGATGGGGGTCACCCCAACCCAGCTGGAGCAGTCCCTCGCCCAGGATTCCACTTATTCAGTTAATCTGTTAAACATCAGGTTAATCTAATGTTTAACCGGTTGACTGATTCATCAGGATTTTATTTCCCTAGTCGTCGTCGTCATGAGCCATTAGGCAATCCTCATGAAATAGTACATTACAAATCAATGGTACTTCCTACACAGTAAGGTAGTGCTTAGAGTGAGTACAGACAGCAGAATCTGGCCTTTATGAAAGTGTACCAAATATCTAGAAAAAGACAACTTTCAAGAAAACTTTGTTCTGGATATGTCAAGTCTAACAGAAATCCTTGAACGAATGCCTATGCCCGCTTTTGGCAGTGGTCTTCCTCTATGGGGTGGTCTTCTACCAACCACAACATGAAGGCTAAATTGTTGCAAGAATGCCATATGGAGTAAATTAGGTTGCTTCACCTGATCAATTTAAATTCTGCAGACCAACACAACACTCTTTTTAACATCAGTCTGGTTAAGTGTTCAGTAACTGGAGCTTGTGAAGGACATTCTACAAAGTCATGCAAGGATAGTCAGTTAGCTTTGTCAAGGGCCAAATTTCTTGGTCAAACTTCAGATGCCAATGAAAATAGTAAGTGCATAAAAAGATTTCAAGGTCCATTTTTTAAGCATCTGGCAGTCCATATTTGGCCTGCGATCCATCTTTTGACTACCCTGAAGTAGAGCAATGTCATTCATACGGAGGTATGCCCAGTGGGGATGACAGCCTCACTTGGTGCTGTCCAGAGCATGTCCCCTGGAGCTCCAGCAGCGATTTAAAGGGCTCAGGCTCACATGTGGCAGCAGCTAGGAGCCCTGTGTCCTTTTGGATCTCCATGTTCAGTGCAGTTATCCCCTTTCCCTCAACCCCATATCAATGGACCTGCCATGACTACCAGGGGAGGCAGGAGCTAAATACAACCTCTGCGTGACCACTAATCTTACACAAATCTTGCACTTCCTCTTTGCTATGGTTGTGAACAATGGGGAAAGCTAAAGCAAGCGTAACGATCCAGGCCACACTGCTTCCCGCGGCTCCCGTTGTCTGGAAATGGCGACTGGAGCCAACGGGAGCTACAAGGCTCCATGGTAAGGGATCTTTTAAGTAAACTAAGTGGCGTGGGCCCGTTAGCGGTTTTCCCAACGTGGGCCCGCAGAACACTTTGAGAAGCACAGCTCTAAATGAATGGCTCAAATGAAACCTTTTCTCTTGGTCCTGTTGCTACTTCTGCTGCACTTGTTTGCTCTTTCCCATGTACTTCATAGGAGTGCTTCCTGCGTTGGTGTGAATGATGCTTCCTGGAGAGAGAATTCCACCGTTCCTGTGATATAAATCTGTTTTTAGTGGGTTTCACTGGAGCTTGCACACAGAATATGAGACAGAATATGGCTCCATCATTTAGAATCTTCAAGTTCATCTGAAAGCCTGATTCAGGTCAAGATGGCTGCTTCTTAAGTGTGCTCCTGGGCTCATTCTCTTTGTTCTTTTCAGCTTGGCTTAATGCTTTTCTCTTCTCTCCTCTGTTCAGTAGTCATTATTCAAGGCTCCTAATGAGAACTCCAAATTGCTCTTTTTCAGGTCACAGAACTCAATAATGTAAAGAATATCTCACGACTGCCCAAAAGCACGAAGAAACATGCTGTAGGCATTTATTTTAATGATGACACCTCCAAAACCTTTGCATGTGAATCAGGTGGGTAAGCTGGCACGGTATATTAAAAAACACTGGAATGTTAATTGTGAATTATAAATCTATTGTACCTACACACAGATTTTCTGGGCATTTATACAGAACTCGAGGCAGATGAGTGGTGCAAAGTGCTGCAGATGGAATGCCTAGGAACGCGAATTAATGACATAAGCCTTGGAGAGCCTGACTTGTTGGCAAGTGGGGTAGAAAGGGAGCAAAATGGTATGTATACAAATATTGAACTTAGTGTTTACAGCATTTTAGAATATAATTCCTACCCTGAGTGCGTGGTTCAATTACTGAAATGTTTGGGCCATGCACATAGAAACCAGAAACATACTCAAGCTTTTACAACCTGGTGCCCTCCCAAGTCCCCCACCCTCCACACTGTTCCTGATTTTTATTAGCATTAATCTGTTCTGCTACTCTGACACTGATCTAGATTTTAGAAACATTCTGGTTAGATTTTCAGGCAAATTAGGTGCTTTGTAAACTCTTTTGGGGGCAGAGAATGCATTTTGGTTCTGCATTAAGAAAGTCCCAACCCAGATAAGGTCCCAGTCCATGACTGTGGCTCCTAGGCAGAAATGGAAATGATAACTCCTGCAACAAAAATAATAAATAATAATTGCATACATAATCTGAGCTCAAGGATTTTATGTGCAAATGGAAATCAGTTAATTGTATGCTCACAGGGGATTTCCATGATTTAATTACTGCACACAATTTCACTAACTGCATGGAAAATATAGTTGTGAATTCCTTTTGTGCGGGCACATGCATATACCCAAACACTTTGAAAATACACTCCTCCTTGAGGAGCATAGGCTGGAATTTCTCCTCCTTTCAAGCAGCCCTAATTATTAGCTTATTTCCACTCATATCTGTATACTGGCCAAACTTACTCATAGTCGGATGAACCTAAAAGAGTTAATTTTTAAAAGCTTAGACCAGTGGTCTCCAATCTTTTTAACCACAAGATCACTTTTTGGATTTAAGTGCAGTGTAAGATCTACCTCAAACCCAAATATTCCTGTCCTGTTTCCTTCCCGCCTGTTCTTTGAGGCCCTGCACCTGCTCCACCCCTTCTCCAAGGCCTCACACTGCTCACTCCATCTGCTTTACTCCCCCATCTTCTGTCACTTTCATCAGGCTGGGGTAAGGGGTTGGGGGGCAGGCTCTTGTGTCAAGGGGTTCGGCGTGTGGGAGGGGCTCCGGGCTTAGCCCAGGGCAGTGGATTGGAGTCTAGGAGTGGGGTTCAGGGGGCAAACTCTAGGAAGGAGTTTGGGTGCAGGGGACTCATGTCTGAGGCAGGAGGAGGTTCAAGGTTGGGATGGGTTCAGGAAGCAGGCTTTGACTGGGCACCATTTGAGATGGCTTCCAGGCGGTGGAGCAGTGGGGTTAAGGCAGGCTTACTCCTGCCCGGGCCCTGCACCGCTCCTGAAAGCAGGTGGCATGTACAGCAATGGCTCAATGTGCTGCCCCTCATCTACCGGCACTGACCTCACAACTTCTATTGGCCATGGTTCCCCGTTACTGATCAATGGGAGCTGCAGGAGTGGTGTCTGCAAGCAAGGACGGCATGTGGAGAACCCCTGCTCTGCCTTTCTCAGGGGCTACAGGAACATGCCAACCACTTCCAGGAGCAGCAATTATCATCAGGATAATGACTCCAGCTATGACAGGTTCAGCATTTTAGAACTCGCTAGTCAAATAATTAAATTTAAACGTGAAAGAGAAATGAAAATGATGAAATGCACAGACCAGTCAAAACCCCAAAATAACCCACTCTGCAAGCAGTAAAAGAAGTAACAACAACATGTGTTGGGTTGGGAGATGAGAGTGAAGGACTGTGTGTGTTTGTGAGAGTGACAGAGATTAGCATTGCCAAGCTCCCTCCATCCCCTTCTCTCTGTGTGGAGATAGGGTACAGGAGTGGGGGGAGAAGAGACACCCTGACATCAGCGCCCCCCTCTTCTCCCTCCCACACCCTGCACAACAAGCAAGAGGCTCCCGGGGGGCGGGGGGGGGGGAGCCCCGCCCGAGGGCA